CGCTTGAGGTATTCGGCTAATCACAACGCACTGGATAGCTGGCCAATCACAGCACACCTCGCTTTTTTTAGACCGATGAGCTTTGTAAAAATCGACGCGTTTCAGAAAGGCGGGGCATAGAGGAGAAACAATAATGTACAGTATGTGGAAAATAATGTGTTTTTTGAACTTTAAACCGCATAAACACATTTCATTACACCAAATACACAAAATAATGTTCTTTTTAGCAGCATCATATAACCCCTTTAATGTAAGGAAAATTTGGTAGTACTGACCCTCAAGCCATTCTAAACCCATATGATGTACTTTTTTCAATGGAACACAAAAGATATTTTTTTATTTTTTAAAGATTACACTGGTGCCCTTTTCAATGTATGAAAGTGAATGAGGACTCAGAAATGACAAAAAAGCAACTTAAAGTTGTTGTAAAACACTGTGACTTGAAAAGATTTGAAAATGACTCGTGTTCTATATTCCAAGTCTTCTAAAGCCATACAATATCTTGTGAAGAGCAGACCAAAATTTAAGTTGTTATTCACTTGTTATTCTCACCTTGGCGTGTTCATGAGTTTATGAGATAAATAGTCAGATCAATGAACTTTCAATGAACTGATCAGTTAAATATTGGTCTGCCTGTCATACAAAGCTATCGTATGACTTCAGAAGACTTGAAATATAGTGCATAAGTCATATGGACCACTTTTATGATACTTCTGTGGTGCTTTATTATCATTTTTGAAGTTTTGAAAACAACTAGTTTAGTCTTTTGCAATTTCTCCTTTTTCATTTCATGGAGGAAAGAACATAATGACAAGAGGGTGAGTTTCATTTGTGTGGGAACTAATCCTTTAAGTGAGTCTGAAAGTACAATCATTATTATTACATCAGAATCACTTCTAATCAGGGTAACACAGCAGGCTGCATTGATTTTAAGTGTATAGGCATCGTTGGTTCAGCAGAAGGCAAAGTAGTTTACTTACACATTTAGTCTTTGGTCTGATTGTCTCTCCATGATAGGATGTGTTACAGACAGCGGTTTAAACAGCATTAACTGGTCATCACATTTTATGCTATTTAAATATGTAAACTTTGCTTTCTTAAGCGAGACATGTAAAATAATGTATTTGCTCTCTCACTTTAGAGACACCTGGCCAGATTCAGTAACAGGAAGATCCCCCGTGCCTTCCCCAGGACATTCTGATGAGGACGAAGGTGATGACAGTGATGAGGTGGAGGCAGATGAAGATCATGTATATCAGTCCCTTGAGAGACAGAGCAGAGCTGATGACATAAATGTTGTATACGCCGTGCCATTAAAACACAGGAAGGTACAGTTGTGTATGTGTGTTTGGTTGGGTCTGTGTATGGAGTGCTTTGCCCTGTTAAGCTTTTGATGCATTTACTAATATTCACCATGAGGTGGAGCTTCTGATTCATTCAAATCCTGCTCTAAATCAATACCTAGTCTGAGAAAATAAAGAAACTAAAGAACCTGCATTAACCTGCATTTATGCTCATCATTATATAGTTGACTGGCTGAATGAATCTCTCTGTCAGGGCGAGACCAATTCAGACGTTGATGAAGAGACTGAAGACTCTGCATTTGATATTGTGTCTCCCCTACAGGCTGAAGGTTAGAAGTAACAAAGAGTGTTCAAATATATTTATGAAAGTCATTCATGCTCAACAAGGCTGCATTTATTCGATCAAACATACAACAAAATAGTAAAATAGTGAAATATTACTACAATTGAAAATAACTATTTTGTCTTTGAATACATTTGAAAGGGGTCATATGACGTTGCTAAAAATAACATTATTTTGTGTATTTGGTGTAATGAAATGTGTTTATGCGGTTTAAGGTTCAAAAAACACATTATTTTCCACATACTGTACATTATTGTTTCTCCTCTATGCCCCGCCTTTCTGAAACGCTCCGATTTTTACAAAGCTCATCGGTCTGAAAAGCGAGGTGTGCTCTGATTGGCCAGCTATCCAGTGCGTTGTGATTGGCCGAATGCCTCAAGCGTGTGACGGAAATGTTACGCCCCTTACCATACTGTTATGCCCTGTCAGGCCGGAGCGACGAGACAAAAACATTAAAACCCATTATAAACGAGGCATTTGTTGCATCCAGTGGGGACATAATTACGGATTATAATGACTTATACTGTCTTTTTAGGCGTTGCATCGCGCTGCGTAAACATAAAACCATGGGTGCGCCTCAATCAGCTCCCTTGTTCAGTAGTCAGGGCACTGATCAGGGAGTCGGCCATTTTAAGGGCTGTCTCAATCGTGAAATCCTTCCAGTGCACTGGAACGTTCGCTCCCTGAAAAATCCCACAATGCATTGCAAAAACTAGGGAGCATCGGCGCTCACTATGCTCCCTTACCGGAAATAACGTCACATTTCTGAAGCGTGAAACATAAACCACACGAGCCAACTCGATAAATATAATGATGCGTGATAGAAGATTTGAAAAGACAAACTGTTTTTAGTACATTTCAACATAAACACACATCGCTAGACAGGAATTTAACACATCTAATTAACATTTATAATTAATATTCGGCTGAAATGTTGTAAGAACGTAACAGAACGATGTGTTTAAAGAAAATAAAAAATAATATAAAAATTAGATTAGTCCTGCATGTTGTTTATTAATTCCAGTGATTACGTTCTGTTATGTTGTCCGTTGACGCTGTACGTAATCATGTCACTGGAATTCGAGTGATCACTGTCCCAGCTTACATCAGTTTGAATCGTCAGTGGCAAATCCTTTAAATATGAAAACATACTTACAGTCTGTGAGTCAGAACAGCCGGCATTGTAGTCTACTCTCCCAGGATCAGGAAACAGTCCTGTGTGCATAAAATGCGCTGCACACATCTGAATATTTGGATTGAACTGTTCTGGAACAGTGTTGTAAATACAACTTAACCACTGATTTCTAGTCGTGTCCTCTTTTGGAAGGCCAAACAAAGTAGTTTCGCTTTCGCTTTCACAACGAAACACACAGCGTCTTCACAACATGGCGGCGGTGGTGGCAGCAACAATAAAATTACACCTTCTTTCTTTGCGTGAACATTTGGGCGGCGTTATGCAAATCTTCCCACACAGTGACGTAGACATGTGGGGGCGTGTTTAAACGAGTCGTTTTTGGAGGGCGTGGACGAGTCTTAATTTTTATAAAGAATATCTCTTTGGTTTTGAGACTTTAGTCTTTGCAACTTTAGGGATCTTATCTATTCACAAACAGCTTGTAACACTCCAAAGAGAAAGGAAAACTTGAAATCGCGTCATATGACCCCTTTAAAATGTAGTTTATTCTTGTGATGGCAAAGCTGAATTTTCAGCAGCCATTACTGCAGTCTTCAGTGTCATATGATAAAAATATGTTACATTTGTTATAAAATCAATCTAATATGCTGATTTGATGCTGTGATTAATCCCTAATAATTTTTTCAGGAGTCCTTGATGAATAGAAAGTTTAGAAAAATAAGAATATTTATTCAAAGCATAAATCTTTTGTAACAATTTAAAAGTCATTACTGTTGCTTTTGATCAATTAGATACATCTTTGCTGAATAAAAGGGGATCAGTTTTCAGCCAAGTATTGCAGTCACGGATAAAAAAAATAATAAGTGTGAAATCAAAATTTAAAAACGCAAGAAAAAATATATTGCACAAAATTTAAAAATGAAAGCAAAGTTTTCAGAATAGCAAACAATGGTCACAGATCAACTGATTCGACTGATTGGCTAGAGGAGCTGTTAATCTAGAACTAGTGGACCAATGATGACGCTTAAGCCCGCCCTGATTTACATGATACTCTAACTGCAACATAGAACATGGAAACAAGAGTGAAGTGAAAAACTGCATAAGCATTAAAAATTTTTAAATATGAGCAGAAAATGTCTGAGAGCACAAACAGAAATATAACCAAGGAAAATAGGATTTAGTGTGCAAGTTGGATAATTTTGCTTTAATATTTCAGTTTTGTGCAATATGATTTTAAATGTGTTTAAAGTTTTGATTCATGCTTATTGCTTTTTAAAATTTCATTATTACATTTTTGATTTACGCTTATTATTTTTTTGGAGCCGTGACCATTGTTTGCTATTTTGAAAATTTTGCTTTCAGTTTAAAATTTTGTGCAATATATTTTTTTCTTGGTTTTGAAATTTTGGTTGCAGTCTTATTATTTTTTTATCCATGACTGCAATACTTTTGGCGGAAAATTGATCCCATATTAGAGCCCTGGTAATTTTGCAGCTTCATGGCTATAATTAATACAATTTTGTATTTCAGAGGAAATTGTGGTACAGGAAGGAGCAGCTAAAATGGTAAGAGAACCTCTCTTCACTTCAGTTTTAAAGGGGTCATATGATGCTGCTAAAAAGAACATTATTTTGTGTATTTGGTGTAATGAAATGTGTTTATGCGGTTTAAAGTTCAAAAAACACAATATTTTCCACATACTGTACATTATTGTTTCAGTATGTGAACTTTACAGATCTTCTTTATGCACCAAGAGCTTGTAACACTCCAAAGAGAAAGGACAATTTGAAATCGCATCATATGACCCCTTTAATGAGAAGCTGAAGTCATTATTTTGATTGTTAATTCAGGTTCAAAGCTAATTTTTTAACGCTGCTAGGAATGTTAATTATGTTGTGGATTGGTCTGACTCTGGACTAAATGTCATGAAGCCCCAGGACTCAACAAATTCTCTAAAGACGGGAAAATTACCCTGGTATAAAAGGGTGCGGTTAAGGGCAACTTTAAAAAGACCAAGACAGAGGTTGTTATCAGTAAAGACCGGGCTCACACTACAGGAGTTTTAGGCTGATTCATCCCCGATTTACCCCTCCCGACAATCTGAGAAAAAATCTGTCTTAATCTTCACACATGTATAATCTAGCACATGTATACAGTATGTAAACATTAGCTGAACGTCAATGATGATCTGCTGTGAGATCACATGAGGTGCTCCCTGATAATGATAATATAGTGATAATGATAATTTTAATAATATCTTGTAGTGTGTGAGGCGCTATGATTTTCAAATCTTGTAATGTGTGCATGTTCAAGATTTGAGAAAGGAAAATCTGTTAATACTCTCCTTATGTGCGTGCTGCAAGTGCAACCAGATTTCATGACCGGGTTAGGATTTAAAGTGGACATTGTATGAAATGTTCACTTTTTTAGCTTTTTTTTTTTTTGCATTTAATTAGGTTTCTGGCATGTCTGCCAGCTCAGAAAAGCTGGAAAGAAAACATGCAGCCAGTTCGTTATGGGGGGTCTGAGTCTGAAACTGTGTCATCCAGCGAGTTGTTTCAATTTGCAGCCGGTTTCTAGATAGCTCGCTATTTGAATAAGACCAGAATACCAGAATAAGAAATAAGAAGAATAAGAATAAGAATAATAAAAATTTCCTGATAATTTACTCATCCCCATGTCATCCAAGATGTTCATGTCTTTCTTTCTTCAGTTGCAAAGAAATTAAGGTTTTTGAGGAAAACATTTCAGGATTTTTCTCCATATAGTGGACTGCAATGGTGGCCAATGGGTTGAAGGTCCAAATTGCAGTTTCAATGCAGCTTCAAAGGGCTCTACACGATCCCGGCCTAGGAATAGGGGTCTTATCTAGCGGAATGATCGGTCATTTTCTAAAAAAAAATAAAAATGTATATACTTTTTAACCACAAATGCTCGTCTTGCACTAGCTCAACTTTATGCATTGCGTAGTCACATTGGAAAGGTCACGTGTGACGTAGGCGGAAGTAACGACCCAGTGTTTACAAAGCAAACGTGCAAAGAAATGCAAATGCCCTTTACAAAAAAAGATAAAACCACGAAGTCGGACGATTTTGAAGTTGGAGGAGAAAATGAGATGGAGTCTTTCGCCCTACTCTACCTTTATGAACCAGAATACAGAGGCGAAGAACTAACCACGCGTGACCTTTCCAATGTAATTACGTCATGCGTGAAGTCACGGACGTGCATTGCAGAGCTAGTGCAAGATGTGCATTTGTGATTAAAAAGTATATAATTTTATTTATTTATTTTTTTAGAAAATGACAGATCGTTTCGCTAGATAAGACTATTATTCCTCGGCTGGGATCGTGTAGAGCCCTTTGAAGTTGCACTGAAACTGCAATTTGGACCTTCAGCCCATTGGCCACCATTGAAGTCCACTATAAGTCGTGGTTAGAGACCGATCCAGATCCTAATGGTTAGAGAGTGGGACTTGTAACCCAAAGGTTGCGGGTTCGAGTCTCAGGTCCAGCAGGACTTGTCGGTGGGGTGAGTTAATAACCAGCGCTCTCTTCCACCCTCAATACCACGACTGAGGTGAGACCCTTGAGCAAGGCACCGAACCCCCAACTGCACCCCGGGCGCCGCAGCAATATGGCTGCCCACTGCTCCGGGTGTGTGTTCACAGTGTGTGTGTGTTCACTACTTTGTGTGTGCACTTGGATGGGTTAAATGCAGAGCACAAATTCCGAGTATGAGTCACCATACTTGTCCACACGTCACCTCACTTATATGGAGAAAAATCCTGGAATGTTTTCCTCAAAAACCTTAATTTCTTTGCGACTGAAGACAGAAAGACATGAACATCTTGGATGACATGAGGGTGAGTAAATTATCAGGACATTTTTATTCTGGAAGTGAACTAACCCTTTAAAGGAGTATGAATGAAAATCAGACAGGATGAGAGAGAGTGGGAAGGTGTTTAGACTGGGTGGCAACAAGAGAGAGCTATTTCTGACACAGCTATTCAGCTATTTCTGACACAAGAGACTATCTCAACCATTTTGATTCATTATTCAGTAAGTGGCTCTCTGATATGACAGCTAATTCATCTATACATTCACACACACACACACACACACACACACAGACCCCCGCCCAATTAGGCCATGTGAACCTGTTCTTGATTAATATGCAGACACACGTATGCACATGAACACTGACCAGCCCTTTGCCGTCTCATATTTCCATGTTGTCAGAACCGAATGCTACCATTCCTGTAGGTGCTTTGAGACCTTTACTAGAGGATCTGTAATCTCATCTCTTAATGAGGAAAATTGCTCATTAGTAGAGATGAACTGCCTCTAATGACCAAGCCCAGTGCTCTTTTCACTATTAGATATACTTAGTAATGCAGTCTGCCTTCAGTCTGTTTCAGTCTGTGGTCTTTGATATTCTGCAGTAAGAACCCTTTAATCAGTTAACTTCTCTCTGTCTCCATAGCAGCCATCATTGCTACGACAACCAGGATCAGGCTCTCGTGGGAGCATGGCATCTCCAGGTACTTCCCCTGTCTGCCATACATTATCCATCACAACAGCTGAACTCCACAGCAAATCATGTGCAATGTCATCTGTGCTAATTTCAGAATCTTTTTGTCAGTCAATGTGAAACGTGCCCCTTTTTAAGAATCCTCAAGGATTTGAAAGAAAAGCATAATTTCTGTTTCATTTTGACAGAGAGCAAATTAAGGACATTGTGAACACCTAATTGATGTCCAATTTATTCAGGCACAGCTTTCAACAGACTGGAGACAAATTAAGTGGTTACTGTGTGATACATTTGTGAGAGGCTCATTGAAGTTTCCTAAAGGAAAAAAAAACAGAATAAAGCCTCTGCCAATTTAACAAACGTCTTCTTATTCAGCTCCTCTCACAAGCTTATTGTTGTCAGCAATGAAATATGAGGGAGATGAGACTATAACTATAATGACTATGAGGACAGAGACTGGAATTACCTTGACATTTTTCTTGATATATTCCCTGCTTCTCCTCTTCCTCCACTGCAGTAATTTTGTTTCTTTTTGTTGTTAATATAGTGGTGACAGTAAAGAGTTTTTAAACTTACTCCTAAAGAAGTTGTTAAAGAGGAAATTGCTGTTGAGATTTAAATGTAAGTATGCTGTGTGCTGTGTTGGCAACAGGATTGTTAGCCATGAAACACATTAACTTTTGGCCAAAAAAAAAGAAAAAAAGAATATAGGCTACAATGCAAATGATGACCATTCTGAAGGTGCGTAGTGTGCACACTTTACCAGACATGCTACATGTTTCATGTTGGCATTTGATTTGTTCATGCTTTGACTTATGATGTTCTAACTCTAAATATAATTTACTCAAAAAAAAAAAAAAAGTTTTTAAACAAGTACAATTTAACAACGTGGAACAAGTTTTGTGGTGCCAATAACACTCATACTGCCCAGCTCACAGTTAGCCCCTGTATATTTTTAGGGATTAGGGATATCAGTAGGAATTGGTGAAAAACCAACCAAAATGTAATTTATTATTTAAAGAACTTGGAATATATGGCACAAGGAGCAGGGGGTCTTGGGATTAAGTTTGAATCTGGTTGCTACTCACTGCCATTATATGGACGAGTGTGAGCAGGACTTTTTTTTTTTTTCTCAGATTTTTTTTTTTTTGGTCCAAAAAAGAAGGAAGGGCATGACGTGAGTTAATGTTACTGTTCATTATTTTCACAAAACATTTTTTTTCATATATTGTGGCTTTTAAATGAAATTACTAACTAATTTCATGTTTCATTATATTGATATAGTGGAATTAGTGTTTAGTTGCACTCAAGAGGTCAAGTGGCAGATGCAAGCAGACCAGCATTAGTTTAGCCTATAGTGGAAGAGGATTGCAGGAAGGATGGATTTACCCTCTGAAATAGAGCATGAAACAGCAGGTCTGGGCACTTGCTGCAAAGTGATCAATGGACAATTGCCAAGCTTTTTATGCACCAGCAGACAACGGCACCCTTAACAGTAACAGAGACTTCCAGTGAAGGAAGAACTTTGCTGGAGGAGGAAATGAGGATGACCTTGAGGTCTGATCTAGGGTTGAAATGTTAGAAGCACAGACAAAATCTTGTCTGTGTTTGTAATGTTAGAGACCAAAGGCACAGACAGATCAAGGAGAATTAAATCTAGATTAGAAGCAAGGATGATACAGCACCACTAGGAGTCACAATGTGGGCTTTTCAGCTCCATATCCAGTTTTAGGCTTTGTGAGAGTCAAGCAAAATGTCTTCAGTAAGGATGTTTGACATAATGTAATATAGTATTTACTGCAGTCTGTCTTATAATTCCCACCTTCTGTGAGATTGTAATATTGTATAGGATAGAGTCACTGTTCAGTGAAGAAATAAAAATTCTGTTGTCATTTACTCAAGTCCCCTCATGTCTTTCCCAACCCTTATGACTTTACTTCATGTAACTGCAAAAGAATGTAATTTTTTTCATGGAATTTCAACTGGATCAGTGAGTGAACTGAATCAGTCTGATTTGTGAATGAATCCTTTCAGTTCAGATCAGTTCTGTGAACCAGGTCAAGCAAATTACTGAAAAGCTCTGTCACAACACAATAATTTACTGATTATCACAACTTCTCTAATTAATGTGCCAAGAAGAGCTAGAGTAAATTTTTAGTGAATAACGACTTAAATGTTGTTCTGATCGTCAATCCGAGTTATCGTGTCACTTCAGAAGACTTGGAAAACAGCACCCAAACCTAAATGAACCACTTTTATTATATTTTAGGGTGCTTTTGTATCCTATTTTAAGCTTCATCCTTGAATGCATTAGACCCCGTTAATTAAAAATTGCATGCATAAAATGACCTGTACATTTTTCCAAATTTCTCCTTTTGTGGTCAGTGAAAGAAATAGGGGTTTAGAGCTGCATGTCTGAATGAATTCTTTAAATAATGGAGAAGCGGTCTGGGAAAAGGTTAGTTAACAAGTTAGCTTCAAGAGAAAGTGACCTTGTGATTGACAAAGTAGTCAGCATCCGTAGGTCATTCAAAGTAGGTTATGAATTAAGAGTGGATGGAAGAGGGTGAACAGTGGTAGCGGAGGGATGGAGAATGATTTGTGTGGGATGGATCCGCATGTGTTAATTGTGGAATGATAGTACAATATCTCTGCGCAACATGTTTTTTCCACCTCTTCTCTGATCCATGCATTTTGTGGTGGTTTTCTGATTTCCAAGGACTTGAAGTGTAGCAGCAGGAGAGTTCAGAAATAAACTACACCACAACAGTTTACTGTTAGTGCATGTGAAGGTTATAGACATTGGCAAATAACAGAAGAAGAACACTGTATTCATGAAAGTTGTTGGCTAAGACTGCTTTGAGCAAGACATTATAACAAGACATTCATCACATCTGTGTTCAGTAAATATAAGAATATGCATGAGCTTTCCTTGACAAAAGAGATCAAAAATGTACACTATCATTCAAAAGTAAAAAAAAAAACAAACAAGAAATAATACTATTATTTAGTAAGGATGAACTGATCAAAGTGATAGTAAAGACATAATATTTACAAAAGATTTCTATTTCAAATAAATGCTTTTTATACTTATGCTGTTTATAACTTTCTGCTAATCAAAGAATCCTGAAAAAAAATGTATCATGCATCAAATTATTAAGCAGCACAATTAACAACATGGATGATAATAATAATAAGAAATGTTTCTTGAGGACCATTCTAATATGCTGATTTGATTTTTGAAGGATCATGTGACACTAAAAAAACTATAGTAATGTCTGCTTAAAATTGATTTGCCATCAATAATGAATAAATGACATTTTAAAATCTATTAAAATAGAAAACAGTTATTTTAAATTGTAATAATATTTCAGTTTTACTGTTTTTACTGTGTTCTTGATCAAATAAATGCACCCTGGTGAGAATAAGATACGTCTTTCAAAAACATTTTAAAAAATCTTACCAAACTTTTGAATGGTATATAGAATTTATTTTTAATTAAGATGATGGACTACCTTCATTAACAGCTCATTTACTCACTCACTTAATTATCAGTCTCACTTATTCTGTTGTACAATTACTCATTTATTTGCCCAATCAATGTATCACTCCTTTACTACGTCCCTTACCTCCATGTTTTATAAATGTTTTTTCATATTGTTTTTGTCAGAGCTTGATGTCTGGAGCGCTCAGTCTCACAGATCAGTGAATACTTCGAAAAGGAAGACCTCACGAATGAAGGAGAGTCCAGTGAGAGGAAAAGAGAGAGACAGCAGTCGGGGTGAGGGGGCATGAACTCTACTCTTTGACATCTGACCTTTCCAGCTCTTTTGTCTTTCTATTTAATAATTTCGGAGCTAAAATCTCCGTAATCATGGTAAAAAGTCACTGTAACGCATGGCCCAGAGTGGATAATTGCTTCATTTCATTGTTCAGTAAATAATTATATTACTGGCTATTTTACGGCTTAGAACCAAACTCATCCTACTGGATTTGACTAGATTGTCAGGACAATTCTACTTAAAGACTAGAGCACAAAAGATTAATGAAAGAAACTAATGAACTAGATCTCATTAGTTGCGTAAGTTATTTAATAATATTAAGCTTGTCTGTCTCTAATTTGTTGTTTATACTGCTTATTTTCATTTCAATCTGTGGTCATTTGATAAGGCAGACATTAAGATCAGCCAGACTAATAGAATGAATATATTGAAGAATCTCAACAGACTATATAGCGCCAGACTCATTAATGTGTATTAGGACTAAACAGATGGTCATAATCATGCTGTACTGGTTTACACCAAACAGAATTAATATAGTCCATCTTAAAAAGAAAATCAGTCATCTTAGGAAATCATCTACATGTCGAACCTTCTCCTTCATTTCTCTTCTGTCACATTTTCATTTGTTTGTGTCCTGCAATCGTTCCTGCATGTCTTTGCATTTTGTGCTCCTGATGGTGGTGTGTTTTATACTGTTAAAAGTTCTGTTTTCATATTCTTATGTAATGTATTTGCTTTTCTGTGCTGTGGTTTTTATTCTGCGTGTGGCTGTGCCGTGTTTTGCTCTGCCTTGTGTGTTGTGTGGTGTAGAGGCCAGTGAAGTGTTGCGCAGTACACTAGAGGTTCAGCAAGCATTTGTAAAGGGGCTGAGGGAGCAGACTCAAATTCTGGCCCAGGAGAAAGAGACGCTGGAGAAGAGATGTTTACAACAGAGTCAGCACATAGAGCATCTCCAGCAGGAGCTCTGCCACACTCACACAGAGAGAGGAATCTCCACAGGTGCCTCCTCACTCACTGCTATACATCCCACAGCGCTAACAGAGCCTATCCAACATTGAAGGGATCCTTCCCCCAAAAATAAAATTCTGTCATCATTTACTTACTCTCATGTTGCTCCATATGCATATGACTTTCTCTCTTCAGTGGATGGTGAATTTTTGAAGAATATTCAGGCCAATTTTTCATTATAATGTAATAAAACGAATGAAGACTGGGGTCCTAAAATCAGAGTTTTTGTATGACCTCAGAAGACTTTAGATATAGACGTATGGACCACTTTAATGATGCTTTTATAAAATTTTAAAGGAGACATATTATGCCCCTTTTTACAATATGTAATATAAGTCTCTGGTGTCCCCAGAATAGTATGTTTTGCTCAAACCTTCGCCATGGCATTAGAACTAATACACCGTTGTCGCTTGCGAAAACACAATAACGGCGCCGTGGGTGTAAACTTACAGATTAAGGGGCGGTAATATTATAATGGGATCCCTTTGCATCGTCACTAGGGGAGCGAAATCTGACGCGCTCGTTTTCTCAGACGCTTACAGAAAAAGGCTTACCAAAACAAAGTTACTGGGTTCATCTTTTGCACATTTCCTTGGTTGGTAGATGCACCGGGGACCTGATTATAGCACTTAAAACCTGGAAAAGTCAGATTTTCATGATATGTCATCTTTAATGATAGTTTTGTGTCCTTTTGGAAGCATGAATGTTCCAGTCTCCATTCATCGTGCAGTAAGAATGACTTGCACAGTCTTCATAAATTATCCATTTTAAGGGAAAAATGTCATACAGGTTTTGGAATAGCATGAGGAGGAGTAAACAATGACAGAATTTTCATTTTTGGGTGACCTATGCCTTCAAGCAACCTAATGGGGAACAAAATCTACATTGCAAATAGGCATAATCTTCAACATATGCCTACTTCATTTCAAGCAGTGTTCTGAGCAGTAATTTCTGACAACTGAGCTGTAAGGTCGCTCAAACAACCCTTTTTTAATGAGACTTTTGCTTTTTTCATACTCAGTTTCCATTTTTTTAGGAACAACTTTCTAATTCTGGGTAGGATCTCTAGAACAGCAGCCTTACTTTTTCATGGTTCACATTAATATGATAGCATTACACACCTACTGATGATTTGTCAGCAGCACATTCTGGCATATTTTTACATCATTTTTTTGTGAATAGTATCTAGAAACTATTGTGCACAAAATTCCCAGAAGGTCAGCAGTTTCTGAGATACTCATTCCCCTCCATCAGTGACCAACAATCATTCCACAGTCAAAATCACTTACTGGAGATCATATTTCTTCCCTGATCTGTGCTTGGGTTTCAACAAACACTGAAACATTTGAAAATGACTGCATGCTGTGATTGTTGCCCTGAGATTACCTGATAAGTTATTTGCATTAACCAGCAGGTGTACATGTGTACCTAATAAAGTGGCAACCGAATATACTGTATGGGCGTTTCTTATACTACAGGCATTTTGTCTCGGGGTTGATTTTTATTAAATATAATAGATTTAAGCTTTTTTCTTTTTTATATGAAGGTCACGTCTTTAAAACTGTTTAGCATCACTTCATTATTCAGTTTGGCATTTTTTTGAAACAGCTTTTATACTTAGATTTTATTATTTCGCTGTTATCCCAGATTCAGACTTTTTATGTTAAAATGTGAAAACCCATCAAAAATGATTAATATGGCATCCTGAAGAAGGCCTTTCTCTAAATGTGAGTGCAGCCCATTTATGTTTCACCAGTTCGCCTACCCATCCGGTCATGATGGTTACTGGTCAACAAACTTCTCAAACCCGAGGCTCGGCTTGAACTCCGAGTTCAACCCCCCATTGCATTACTGCATAGAAGGAAAATAACAGAAGTGGAGGAGGAGATGGGGAGGTGGAGGGATGCCAGAAGAATTGTCGCTGGGACAGCGCGATGAATGTTGCTTATATAGGCTCGTAATGATGATTGACAGGACTGAATGATTAGGGTCCTCCCGAACCTACGTTAGGAACTTCATTTATTGTAATATTCATGCTTCTATTATTAGTCAGCTGCTTGAATAAAGTTCTTTATCTCTTTATTTATTTTTTACAATTTTCACACTGCATTTGTAAAATTATGGTAAGAGGAGTGAAATAAACTAACCATTTCAATGTTTATGGTTTAATGTTCATGCAACTGTCCTTCAGTTATGGGATAATTCCAATCACAACCAACAATTTATCCCCTAGTAACATTTTTCAAAAAAAAAAAAATTGTCTAGCTGGTTACCAAGGAGACAACACTTTCAGTGAAGAGATAGTCTCACATAGCCAGACCTTCAGACTGATGAATGAATGAATGAATGATGCATTTATATAGCGCTTTATTGTGTATTGTTGTACACCCAAAGCGCTTTAC